TCCCACCATCTTTCCTCCTCCCCGGTCCCCTCATTTTTCATCAAGTCCTGTCAAATCTATTGTCTTAATTACTCTAATCAATGTCCCCTGTTCCGTCCTCCTTGCCCACCCCATTTCTGACCTAAATTATTTTTTTTACCACCCAGCCCACCCAGAATTTCCTCAAGTATGTTCTTTAAAACATAGTTCTTCCCAAGATACTCCATTAAAAAAGGATTCTATGATTCAATATTTTCAGTGAGTAACTGCACTGTGACTACAGAGTCACAGTACATACCAGCATATTAAAGTTTTCAAGAACCCCTGGCCTGAAGAAACATGTTCATACCGACCTTTCACCATCATCACTTCCTCTGGCTCCCTTTCCCCAACTGCTTTTCTTCACTTGGCTAACTTCTACTTATCCTTCAAGCTCAGACCTTTCCTCTTACAGGAAGGCCCCTGAGAATAGATACCTGTCCCTACGCTGTGCTTCCAGATCTCTCCTTGCACGCCCCTATACAGAACCTTCATGTTAATGGCATGCAGTCTGGAGAATGCCTCCTGTACTTGGTTGTGAGACCCCTGAGGGGAAAGACTCTCTGACTGACTTATCTTCCAAAGTCCAGCAGGTTATCTGGCACGTGGCAGTGAATTAATAAACCCTATTGAGTAAATGAATGCTAACAATACCTAAATGTGTTATCATTTATTCTGTGGCAGGCATCTGCTAATCTCCTTGCATGTATTAACTCATTTAACCCACCCAAAGATCCTAGGAGGTGAGTGCTAGTATTTTTCCCATTTGACACATGGGGCAACCAAGGCAGGAGGAGTGAATATGTTTCATTTTTCCTCCCATACAATCTTATTTTCTCATTTCCAGCAGCATAAACATGAGTATTTTTACCCTGCTTCTTAGGAAAGAGGATGTGATCAAACCAATGGAAAGCTGGCAGAACACTGTTACTTTTAGAAATACTGTTGTTATAGAACAAAAAAGCTTTAGTATAAAGGGAAAATAACTAGAATTAGGACTCTTATCTGAATTTGAAGACCAGCTCTGTTTCATATTAGAAGATATGAGACATGTAGCAAATTAATAATCTAAATTCCAACGGTTACTTAAAATGAGGACAGTTATACTTATCTTATTGAATATTCCTACCATAATTACATGAGGTAAGTATATGAAAGTTCTTTGCAGCGTTTAGGTCATAAAATTGAGAATACTGATATCATTACTTTCACAAACAATATAATGGAATGATGTCTGACCTCCCTACTAGCAAATATTTATAATTGGTTACTATGGATTTCTATTTTTATTTTCCTTATGGATAAACTGGTCCAAATAATTGGAAAAGCTTTCAAATCTACATGGAGATTTCTACTGCAAGTTAAAAAACATTCTACTAAATTGAACCAATTGAACTACATCTGTTTTGAGGCTCACAGTATAAACTTGGAAATAAGGAAAAATCATTGAGTATTAATAAAAAAAAGCTTGACAAAAGTCTTAAAAATTTCAACAAAACCACGACCAGCATAACCGACTAAATTATCTACACTGTAGAGACTGTCTACACTCTCCTGTCATTAATGGAATCTTATATAATATAGCCAGTGCTCTCAGCCCTACAAACTATGAACAGCTCAGTAGATAAATCTCAATAAGCCTCCACATCAAACAGACTGGAAGAAATCAAAAGACCGCTGAGCTAAGCCAGACCAGGCTGATATTTTGGTTTATTGGTTAACTGTTATGTTTGGAAAGGCATAAAGCTTAATTGCGAGACTTGAGGTGTATGTCAAAAATGCCTGACTTAAGTAGAAATTCTGATCATAGCATCTGTCACTAGTTAAAATACATGGAGATCTTTATCCAGGCTATTTTTTTGTTGTTTATGTTTTCAATAAATGAAAATAACCCAGTCACATGGTGACTAAATATGAATCATTGTTTCAACTTTTTGAGAAGGTTGGAAATACCAGGTGTAAATTAGGGACTAACACTGTTGTTAATCCAAGGCATGTAAAAGTTAAAAAGGGGAAAAATCTGGTTTAGTTTATGACTTCTTGTGGTATTAACCATAGGTTTCTCACAAATACTAATGAATGCAACATTTTGAAACACTATATGGAAAAGTGAAATCCGGTGGTGTTATTTGGATATTTTTACCATTTTCTACTGAATAACTAACTCCATTTGGCTGAGTGAGTAACAAAACTAAACATTTCTTAAAAGGCCCTAGGAGAAAGTAATTTTTCCTAGTAAAGGTTCTATTTAAAGACGGCAAATGAGGTGCTCATCACTGCTACCAAAGCTACTCAACCATACTCAACACATCAGTATTTCCTCGGTGCTTTAGGACATGCAACAAACTTAAAAGACAAGCCCTCTCCTTCAGAACTTGGAATTGAGTTCAGAGTCCACAACTAATTCACAAGAAGCAATAGCAACACAAGAAAGAGAGCATGCCCCATCTGTGGTACCTCAGGGAAAGTCCTAAAGAAAGGGAGCGCAATGAGTCCAGGGATGACCCGTTTATTCGTTCAGCTAATTTAAAGACAATTCTCACTAAATGCTCACCAAGCCTAGACCCTTTATAAGCCTTTGTGACATTTACTCCTATTTACTCCTCATAATGACTCTGGAGATAGGTCCTGTTACCATCCCCAATATATGATGATGCTGAGATAAACTCAGACTTGAGGGACTAAATAACTAGCCCAAAGTCTGAGCTGGAAGTTCAATGCAGACCTGTCTAACTCAACATGCATTTTCTGAGCGAGGTCAATGTATCACTTCTTTGTCCCCTATATAAGGCACTGGGGTAAAAAGGAGCATCAGACACAAGCCTTGCTATCAAGAAAGCCACAGTCAGGTTAGGGAGAACTTCCTGGAGGAAAAAAGATTCAGGCTTAACCCCCACAGAATGGGAAAAGCTAGCAGACTGTAAATAGAAGAGAAGGGACTGGTTACTCCAGAGGAGAAAAAGCAGGCACAAAAGCAACAAAAAAGAAAATCATACCATATTCAAAGGATCAGTAGGGAGATTAGCTTGGTTGGAGTATACGTATTTGTTGATAGTTGGTAGGAGTTTAATAAATATTTGTGGGTTTGAATAATAGGAGATAAGGTGAAAAGGGCAAGTCCAAATTAACATAGGGCCTTGAAACTAAGCTGAAGAAAATACAATCAATTAGTTAATAAATTATGTGGGCCAGTGTCCAACCCCACTCCTAATAAAAGCAACAGAAATTGAAACAACATGGTAATTTCCCCCTCACATTCTCTTAAACTTGCATTAGAGATTAATGATACCCACTACTGGGAAGATTACACATGCTAGTGAATTTATAAATTGTATCTTCTTATTTATTTTTTAATTTATTTTTTTAAAGATTTTATTTATTATTTATTCACGAGAGACAGAGACAGAGAGGCAGAGACACAGGCAGAAGGAGAAGCAGGCTCCATGCAAGGAGCCTGATGTGGGACTCGATCCCGGACTCCAGGATCATGCCCTGGGCCAAAGGAAGGCGCTCAACCACTGAGCCACACTGGCGTCCCTGTATCTTCTTTTTTTTTTTTAATTTTTATTTATTTATGATAGTCACACACACAGAGAGAGAGAGAGGCAAAGACATAGGCAGAGGGAGAAGCAGGCTCCACGCACCGGGAGCCCGAAGTGGGATTCAATCCCGGGTCTCCAGGATTGCGCCCTGGGCCAAAGGCAGGCGCCAAACCGCTGCACCACCCAGGGATCCCTCCCTGTATCTTCTTATTTAAAAGAAGCCTAACCATGAGTTTTCTGGAATGTTTACATTCTTGAACACAGTATTTCCATTTCTGATAATTTAACCCAAAGAAATAATCCAAAAACACAAGTAAAGCTAAAATGCATGAGGATATACCCTGTACCACTTTTTATATGTGGAAAACTTTGGGTGGAAAGTAAATGCTCAGTGTTAGGCAGTTGATTAAAACAAAAAGGAAAAAGTTTAACAAAATAGGAAAGGCCGATGAAAGGGGTATGGGCTTTAGACCAGAGGCAACAGTGAGCTAGTGAAAATTCCTGAGTAGGAAGGTGAAACGGGAAACTGTTTTTCAAGAAGATCGGTTTACCGAGCAATCTGAAAACACACAAATAGAATCTAAAGACTAGTTATACTGTAATAGCCAGAAATTACACCAGGTAAGATAACCTTACATATTAAAACACTTTGTAAATAAAAGTACTCAGCACACAATTATTAATAATATATATATATATATTAAAACAAACAAACAAACCCTAGGAGGGGGAAATTAAATATTTAATAATAAGAGAAATTTTAAGTAAATCATGGTTTGTCCATTAAAGGAATGCTACTTTGATTGATACTACACATGAAACCCTGAAAAATGATTACATTTCATTTTGGTGAGGGGCAGGAGCAGGAAGAGATTTCTAGAGACAGAAACCTCCACAGAAAATGCCATGGATCCCATGGAATTCAATTTTCATGGGTGAGCCAAACGGTTTGGCAGTGCACGGCAGAACAATTCTGAAGGCAATTAGGGCTGAAAACAAGCAAGTATTTAAGAATGGTATGTCCATCTGTGGAAAGGCCACAACTGATAAATGATCATATGCCAACTGAAATACATTCTTCCCAAGGCATAAATCTATTTACTTCCCCACTGAAACATTATACTTTCACAATGATAAAAAACTGAAGCCTCTATTACAATATTTGTAACTAATCAAAATGAGAGCACACACACCACCCCGAGAAATTCTCCTTTATTGCCCTAACATGTTGAAGGTAATGGAAAAGTTGGTTTACTGAAAGCATAAAGGAAAAAAGAGATGATGACTTGTGCTATGTGTCTGGGGAAAACTGGATACTCACCACTTTTATTTTAGAAGTCAGTGACACTGTTTTTTTAGCACACAGAATCTGATTTCTGAATATAGACAGAGGAGGCAGACCGCCAATACTGCTTTAATGTTTAATGTGAGGATCTGAATTGCTGATTGTCCTATAGATAGGACAAAAGAAGGTAGTAAGATAAAGAAGTGATCAGGTGAGCTGTTCCTGCCTGAACGGCAGAAGAACTGAGAAGGGGAGGGCAGTGGCATTTATAGGGGCCACATGTTTGAAGAGGGTAAGGAAGAGCCCGCAGAGGTGCAATCACACAGCGGCATGAAAGTGAAGAGGCACAGGAGTGGGGCAGGCAGCCTCCTCCCCCGGGGAGACGAAGTGAGTTAAGAGAGTACTAAAGGCTTTCCACCTTGCAGTACAGGTGAGTCTTATCTCTTCAACTGTTCTTCAGATATTTAGATCACATTTTATAAATGTCTGTATTCCTCTCAGTACTCAGAGTCTTGCCTAAGTAAGCATTTTTGTTGAAATAGTGATTAAGGGAAAAAAAGATCGGGTCACCTAAACAGGCCACCAGTTATGGCCAGAACCAATGGCTGAGGAGGAGTTTGACTGCAGGGGGTAAAAGAGAGGATCAAGTGGGTTAAGGGGAGGAAGTGTGTAACTGACCATTTATATGTATCTAGATCAGTTGTCCATAGCTTGAGTGATCACAGAGATAAACATGAGAAAGAGATGTACTCAGAGCGATGGATGGCTCTAGAATTGTGTTTATAGGGTAGAACACTCTAGACCTCCAAGATTCAGCAAATGAATCACACCTAATGGTCCTCATCAAACATAGCCAGTCTGACTCCATCTTCTGTCCAGCCAAAAGGTTTGCCGTGACCCAGACAGCCTCATGGTCCACTCCTACAAAGGCTGTTTGTACAGAACAAAACAGTAACAATTTGAAGGAGAGAAAAGAAAGAAACTTGGCAGATAGAGAAAGTGAGACTGTTCAAAACAAATGGCCTAATTTGATTTCAGAGGCCAAAAAAGTACATCAAAATATGACACTGGGTTTAAATGAAATAGGGATTTTTGGTTAATAAATGAAAATAATTAAGTACCAATTCCAATAAATTTAGAAAGATCATCTGACTTCATAGGATTTGGCGACACAATAACATCAATGTTGTAATATACAGGTCAAATTCCAAAATGAATTCAAGTTCCTAATAAAAAACAGTGTTAGCATTCTGTCAGCTTGTTAGAGATTAGTCATGAACCAGGGAGACATTTCACATCGCAGAGTAGCATTTTTCTGACTTAGAAGTTAATTGTATTTTATTTGGAACCTCTATTTTAATGCTCTACAAAACTTTTTTCATGTGTAAAAGCATATACTTTGTTCTTGAGTAAAATTTTTATAATGCAAGCTTCCTTACAGTAATGAATTATATATAACCATATAGCCAGACACACTCGTACTACTTCATATCTTTTTTAAAATTACATGAAAGAATTGCATAAGGAAAAAAAAATCACATTTTCCTATTAGGCTAAAATACTACATATACTACTTATCTTCCTATTAAGCCGTTGTTCTTAATGAAAACATTTTCAAAGCTTTCGAAATAGCCTAGAAGAACGTAGCAGCAGACTTCATTAGTCGCCTACTAAAAATTCATTCCCCCACCCCATCCTTCCTTTTAACAGTATTTGAGTTTGGTTTGGTATATACCCTTCTCTGAGTATGCTGAATATGCTCTGATATGCTTCAGGGAAGATTGGCACCAACCCCAGACCCAACTGGAGAATCCTGATTAGTCTAAGATAATTATGGTGTATTCATTTCCCTTGTCAGGGATAAGTTGGGGCATGCTAAAATGTTAATTCTGGCCAAAAAGATGCAAAGGGAAGTCTGCAGGGTGTGGGATTGAGAGCATGGGAACATACAGGAGGTGGTGTTGTCACTTTTAAAAAGAGAGGTGCAAGGCCACTGGATATTGTGCCTAGACACTGTTGCATCTAGATGTGATAGCTGGAACTGCAGCTATCATGCAACCATGAAGGAAGCTTGCCTGCGGCCAATGTCATTACATCAAGGATGACACAGCAGAAAAATGAAAAAACCCGGGTCTTTGATGGTGTTATCAACCTAGAATGAATCAATTCCCCCTCAAAACTTCTTGGTTATATATGAGATAATAACTTCTCCTTATTCTCTAAATTTTGATTTTGGTTTTCTGTTACTTGCAGTCAAAAGCATTCTAACTGCTACAAGTCTGAAGTATTTCAAGTCTCTGTTTAAATTATAACAAATGGCTATTATTTGGGAGATGAACGACAACAACAGAATATGCTGCTTAATTTACTAGCTAGACATATAGTTTAAAGATAGAAAACTCAGCTATATGAGTAGATCCTAAAGCCTTACCTATTATACTTCAAAGCTGGTTACTCTTCTGTTCCCCTCTCCCTAACTACCCACTCTACACACACACATACACACACACACATACACACACACACACACAGAGGTACATACATCATATGCTAATGGCTTGGAATTGACCTCATCCTCATACTAATGATCTGGGAAAATGGACATCTTCTGACAAAACAGTAGAAGAGTCTAACATAGAATATAAAGTTTTCCCAAAGAGGCACTTTAAATATCCTAAGATTAGAAACAGTCTAAGATTATGAAATTTTCATGGATTCATATTTATGGATCATCTACTATATGTTAGGATGCCATTTTGAATTTTTATCTGAAAATCTGGAATAATTTATAGTATATCTAACTGCAAGTAAATGTACGTTTTTCTGTTCCTACTGAGGTATATCTGAAATATCTTCCTTTCTCACAAATAGTGCTGCTCCTGATGATCGGAACCATGTCTTCCACCTGCCTTGATCAGTTATCCGAAGTAGTCACTCCTAAAGTATATCTGATGGAACACAAGACGGTAATAAATGTTCTTTAAAAGAGAGAGAGGGGTGCCTGGGTGGCTCAGTGGGTTAAGTGTTTCACCTTGGTTTTGGTTCACCTTATGATCTCAGGGTCATGAGATCAAGCCCTTAACCGGGTTCCAAGCTCAGTGCAGAGTCACTTGAGATTTTCCCTCTCTTTCTGCCTCTCCTCACTCCTCTCTCAAATCAATCAATCAATCAATCTTTTAAAAAAGATAAAGAAAAAGAGAGTTGGCCAAGGTCAAATAATTTGGGGGAACTACTGCATGTTATATCCCACTTTTGAAGATTTACAAAATATATTATAGTATATGAACTGTCCTGAGAAGTCCTGTCATAAAGAGATTTTTATTTAACTCAATGTTTCTGAAACTTGCTTGACTCTAGATTTTTTTCCACTAAATATCTTTCAGTATCTGAGGAAATTAGTAATCTTTAACATATGACACATTCCCTTCTAATATAGCCACTACTCAATTTAGAAATAACAAAAAGAACAAATACTAAAATAACCACATCAACTAGAACTATGCCTTAACAATCTACAGAGACTAGTAGTTATTCTTAAGTAACTTTCTTTCATATTCTCCAATTCCATCTGCCAGGGACACAGAACATAATTTCTTCTCAAATGATTCCAAAAACAATGCTTTTATTATATAGCAATACTACATTACAAAAACTTCTAAATGATTCCTAATGTCATGTACGATTCAAACTAGCCTCCCTGACATATCTGTTTTACTCACCGGTATAGCCCCAGAACCTCGGAATAGTGATTACAGCAAAATAGGTGGTCAATGAATCATTGCTCGAAGAATGAATGAAAGAATGGATGAATATCTCCATCACATCCTCCTCTCCACCTGTCTAAATCTTGCCCATACCCCCCCCCTTTTTTTTAAGATTTTATTTATTTATTCATGAGAGATACAGAGAGAGAGAGAGAGAGGCAGAGACACAGGCAGAAGGAGAAGCAGGCTCCATGCAGGAAGCCCGATGTGGAACTTGATCCTGGGACTCCAGGATCACACCCCGGGCTGAAGGCAGAAGCTCCATGGCTGAGCTACACAGGCATCCCTTGCCCATCCTTTCAGGTGTAGATTAAGCACTAACTCCTGGTCTTCTCTCTCAGTAAATGATGAACTCCTTGAAATCCGAGACTATGTTATAAACTACTTTTGTATGTATTAGAATGCCAAAGTAGAACAATAAATATTCAATGAAAAAATTTTATTCATTACATTTCATTAAAAAAAAAATCAGCGTGTAACAAGAATAACTGGAAATTCTTGGAATTTCTAAACCTATACATTACTAAAATCAGTAGTTATAAGGACCAAGTTCTGAATTAAGAAAAAATGTTATCCAAGTTCTAAAGAAACTATTCCCTCTGACTTTAACCTCTTTGACTTCATTTTCTCATTTGGAAAATAGCTCTGTGGTATTTCTCTACAGGTATTGAATGAGCAACAAATACTGCTTGTAAACCCCCTGATAAAGGAAGACTTTATCTCATAGTCCTGGAAGCAATCCTGACGTCTTAAATTATGTAATCCTGGTATTACATTATATTAGTCTGGTTCATATAAAATGTAAGCTACAAAAATACCAAAGCTAAGAAAAAATATTTACTCATGCTTTTACTAAGATGCAGAGAGAGGATGCATGCATTGCCAAAATTCCATAGAACATGCTCAAACTAAAGCAACAATGCCTTAGTTATTAAAGAAGGCAATGGCCTGAAGCAGTACTTAGGAACAAAGATTACTTGGTCCATGCAAGAGTCAATATTTAAGAACACAATGACTAATTCCCACTTCAAGTTCATGAACATATTTCTTTTTAAGAGCTTCTTTTTGGTTAAAATTTTTATTTGTGGTTTCCCTACTTATGATCCATGAACCTAAGAATGAACAAAAACTTGAAACATGAAACTCTCCAGTAGGCCAAAGTGTCAGTATAGACTTAATTCTGATTTTAAAGACTTCTCAACAAGGGTTACACGAAACTTGTACTTTACTTCTCAGTCTCCAAAAACACTCATTTATCAACTTGGCCTAAAGAACCAGACTGAATGTTCTTGAACAACCGTGGAAAATGCATGAATGACACCTCCAGACCATATCAAAACACTTGGGCTCTTAATTTAATTTCAAATTACTTGAATCCCAACTAGTATTATTGTTGCCAATAGAAACTCCATTTATAAATAATCAGCTGTTTTTTTTTTAAATGTTCTAGTTGAGCTTACCCTGAGCTAAAAGTAATCATTAAATTCATTTCCAGCACTACCTGTGTGACCCTTCAGCAAACTGCTCAATTTTCCACACCTCAATTTTCATCTTAGGTTCTCTCAAAGATAAAAACTAGCAACAGTTCTTATTATCGCTTTTTAAAGATTTTATTTATTTGAGAGAGAGAGAGATCACGGGCGGAGTGGGGAGGAGGGGCATGGAGGCAGAGGGAGAAGCTGACTCCACATGGAGCAGGGAGCTCAACTTGGGGCTTAATCCCAGAACCCTGGGATCACATCCTGAGCCAAAGGCAGACACTTAACTGATTGAGCCATCCAGGCTCCTCTCATTTTTGCTAAAGATATGAATGAAAAATATAAGCACGGACTTGAAAAACATTAGGTTAAGTCAAGAAGACATCAATCATACCATAGACAAGGATTATCACAAAACTCCCAAATCCTCTCCCTATAACACCAAACTATCATCAAATATAAGAGGTGAATGTCTTACTGGCCACACCGATATCCTATTGAGGTAATTTAATTCATCTCCTACTTGCAACCAGAAAACTAAGATTTCTACATTCCTGACACTACAGTAGGACATTAGAAGCCTTGTGACCTGCTCCTCCCTTGCGTGTCTGCATGAAAACGAAGTTCCCTAGGGAGAGAATATCCACGAGACAGAGGCTTTTGCCATCTATAGAAAGGATCTCATAGTCACCTCAAAACAAACTTCTCCATTGGCCCCCTTCCCACCTTTCCTCCTAAAAACAACAGACCACATAGGAGATGTGAGATTCTTGCTCTACATGAGACCCTAGGGGACGTGGCTCATTTCCCATAGTTTGACAACATAAAACCTACAATCAGACTCTAAAAAGCTGATTCACTGCTCATGAGGGGCTATGTGTATTGGTGTGTAAATCGGCATGCATTCTGCAAATGGACTTGATTTGTGTTCTAGTTCTGCCACTTTCTGGCTGTATGACCTGGGGCAAATAATTAATCTGCTAACCTTAGTTTACTTCTCTGAGAAATTAGGATGACTATCCACTCTGCAGGGGTACAATAGAGGCAAAATTAGACACCCATCAACGGTCTGGCGAGGCCAACCACACAAACAAGCACGGAAGCTATGCTAACCCCTTTCCTTCTGCATCCGTGGAACAGAGACTGCAAGCATAGCAGATAACCGCAGATATTCTTCATGAGACTGTCAGGTTCCCCAGTGCCAAGGGCACGTCTGATTCATCTTTGGATCTCAGTGACCAGCAGAGGGCCTGGCCCAGAGTAAACACATAATAAGTGCTTTTTAAATGGAGAAAATGAGAATCCTTTGGGTTGGAGGATGTTACGATTATCCTGGCCACAGTCAAAGAAAAATTTGATTTTCAGTTTGGCCAAATGGGTACTTGCTACAAACTATTCTATAGTTCAAAGCAAATAGGCTATTCTGAATTTTAATAATTACATTCTCTAAAATATGAAAACCCAAATGCCCTACAGCTCTCAATTTTAGTTTTGAGAATCCAATTATTCCCTAAACAATGGAGTGGGTAACCACAGAAACTTGTGGAATCTCTTTTCCTAGAAAACATGAAGAACAGGAGAGAAGCCAGTCTGTCTGGAAACTGCCTCAAATTCTATCTCTAAGCAGAGGCTGGATCAGATCAGATGCTCCTAAGAGGATCCTTTAAGACCTACACAACTACGATGTTAAAAGAAATAAACTAAAATAATTCTCTGTAGTTTACACCCAGAAAAGTAAAATAAATACAATTCAACATCTCCTAACGTAGTCATCAGAAATAATTTTACTTGACCTAGTGGTGCTTTTATAAACATATTTTTCTGAAATTGTGCTAAACCATCCCAAGCTATCAATTTAAATATGAGCTTTCTCTAATAAGACAGAATAGAGGTTATTATAACTTAACAACACAAAAACCAAGATTATTATCCTATTGTTCCATTTTTCAATCTACCTGTTTCCATGTAGCCCACATCTACTCATTTCCAAGGCTTTATAAGAAACACTATTTCCCCCAAACATCCGATGCAACTTTCCCATCAATGATTTTCTAGTGCATCTGTTGATCATGTCACACTGTGCAGCTGCTTACTACAAACGGTCTTCTACTTGTATCTTTTGCAAATAATAATTTTTGTTCCCCTAACAAAACATAAGCTCCTTGAGCAAGGTCCAAGTGTACTCCCCTATTGTGTCAATGAGTTCATGACAAAGGCTTACAAATTCTCACTGGCTGATTAATTGATTTACAATGAACAGAGAGGGGCGCCTGGGTGGCTTAGTTGGTTAAGTGTCTGACTCTTGAATTTGGCTCAGGTCATGGCCTCAGGGTCCTGAGATCAAGTCCTGTGTGGGGCTCTGTGCTGGGCAGGAAGCCTGCTTAAAAATCTCTCCCTCTCCCCTTTCTCTCACTTGCATGCACGTGTGCATGCACTCTGTCATTCTCTCTCTCTCAAATACATAAATAAGATAAGATAAGATGAAATAAGGGATCCCTGGGTGGCTCAGCGGTCTAGCGCCTGCCTTTGGCCCAGGGCATGATCCTAGGGTCCTGGGATCGAGTCCTGCATTGGGCTCCCTGCATGGAGCCTGCTTCTCCCTCTGCCTGTGTCTCTGCCTCTCTCTTCTCTCTCTCTCTCTTTCTGTGTCTTTCATGAATAAATAAATAAATTCTTAAAAAATAAAATAAAATAATAAAATGAGATGAAATGAAATGAAATGAGAAATCAAAAGCTATAGAACACTCTCTACACTGAGGACCAATATGAAGCTTTGGCAAAATCTAAATTAAAGTTTTCAGGCTGCTATATATTGACATTTGTCATTTACCTGAAACTAGAATAGTTGGAGGTTAGTGCTTGTAGGGGCTAAAGAGAAAGACCTAGAGTTAACACATTGGTTTAGCTCCTGTCCTGTACGGAACAAGGAAGGGTTCAAGGGTGCCCACTCACAACACTGCTGATGGAGACCATTTTGGGAAGCCCAGCACAATCCCCAGATGACAGAGCTGTGCAAGCTCTGCTCCTATATAGGATCAAAGATTCATTCTGTCAGGCCAAGTAACTAGGGAGTAATAAATAAAAAGGAAAGGAAATTTAGCAAATTAAAATGTTGTAACATTATTTTTTTAAAAAAGCCAAGTTAAACAACTTTTCTCGTTCTTTACAAGAAATATATCTAGAATAAAACTAAGGAGCTCTAGAGTCCAGTCATTACCAGTGCACTCTACATACTTATAAATAGGAATGCAGAACCTCCTGCTCCCTTCTTTACATACGAAAAGGGAACTTCTTGTCTATACTACAAGGCAGGTACTGTTTTAGGAACTGGGAATAGAGCACTTTACCAAACCTACAATTTTAGTAACAATTACATAAAGCCTTAGCTTAGTATTTTACAAAAATAAGAGAACTCCAGGATTGACCAATCTCTTATCTTAGAGGAGAAAACCAAAGTCCAGAAAGGTTACCTAATTTGTCTCAGTTGATTATTGTGGCTATATGGCAACAAAGGCAGGGAATAGAAACCAGATTTCTTATCTCTCCTCTAGTAACAAAATTTACTTACTCTTTAAGCAACTATTTCTGTGTGCTAGCTACACATATGTTAAGTGCCAGGTATACAAATAGGTAAGATACTGACTCTGTTCTTAAAAATTTCAGTTAACTCTAAGATGATGGGATAAGCACCTTAATAGAGGTGGTAACAGAAAAAAGCAAACTCTGTCTCTAATTGTGTAAGACTTCCAATGTTTTATTTATTTATTTTTAAAGATTATTTATCTATTTGAGAGAGAGAGGGTGAGCATGTGTACGTGCAAGGCAGGGGAGGAGCAGAGGGAGAGGGACAAGCAGACTCCATCTGTGCTGAGCTTAGAGCCTCCCATGGGACTCCAGCTCAGAACCCTGAGATCAAGACCTGAGCTGAAATCAAGAGCCAGACACTTACCCGACTGAACCAGCCAGGCACCCAACTTCCAACATTTTAAAAGAAAATAAATGGTTAATCATTTATTTTATCCCCACCATAGTCCTGAGTACAGAGTACAGATCTTATTATTCTTGTTACATAGATGGAGAAATTGAAGTACAAAGAGGATGAGGCAGTTTGTTAAGGTCATCTCTAGCAGCAGCAAAATGCCTAGAAACCAAGTCTGTTTACTCCAAGATAGACATTTTTTTCCCACTAGATAGGAAAGGCAGATGTTCTTTTTATGACCAGTTCCCTTCTGACCAAAAGCACACATTTGCAAGACGGTGTGCAGAACAATCTGTGGCTGTGAAAGTAGACTTAACTGGCCTGTGAGGTCTCATCAGCTAAGTGTAGTTATTCGATGGTTGAGTAACCAGCCAACCAACAAGACATCATTATTACTAGCATTCTTAAAGTGCCCATTATGTATACACAGAATAGATGGGAAAGGTTCTGCCCTCAGGGAGTTAATATTGTAGGGAACAGGGTTATAAACATTTCAACAAAAAGTGACATAATTAAACAAACTACGACTAGAATAACCACTACAAATAATGGCTAATTTAAGACACTAAAGGTTTTGCAGAGCAAATCTAGTAGATGCTTCTAGGAAATATACTCTTTAAGAGTTAAGCAAACAGAAGCCTTGTATACATAATGATACAGACCAATCTTCAGATTATTAAAATAAAAGGCTCTTTCTTACCAAGAATGTTCATCATATTAAAAAAAAAAACTATTAATTCCTTCATTTCGCCTTTCAACTTTACTCAAAATGATTTTATGAATGGAATAATTTATCTCTTTCTAGGAAAGTTACATATTTTGTAACCTTTCCTATTTAAGAAGAATGAATTTATAATGGAGGCTCCCATCAGCATGCCTTTGGCAAAAGGATTAAAGCAGGATGGTTTCATTGTGTTATTCTTTCACCCTCCTTCAGATGTAACCTACATGGAATGAATCTGATGATTTCCTCCTATACACAGTAAAATCTGTATACGCATCCAAGAATACTCACACTATAAAAGTAAAAGGGAAAAAAGTATTTCTTAATTGTCACGTTCAGTTTTAAACATTAATTTTGCTATTAATTATCTCATATTTTATTTATGCCATTATTTATCATGGCCTTATAACATGACCAAACTGTTTTAAACCTTAACACTTTTTAGAATTATTAACAAAGAAAGCCAAGGATAAACAAATATTAGTGATTTCAAATTACTGAGAGAAACAATTTCTTTAGAAACTGGCTAAATAGTAAAAATCATAATCATATCAAAGGAATAATGTTAGTATTATTTTAAAAAAATACAACTTGATTAAAAAAAACAAACAAACAACTCTCCAGTATTTCCTGAAAACACTCAAGGGATTAAAAGAAGCCAATTGCCTTCTTTTAAAATATTTGTTAAATTTCATAAGGTGATAAGCAGCAACTTAAATGGCAATTCAAAACTATCAGTAGATTTCATTAGAATTATCAACAGTGCATCATAAAATTATTTCATGACATTTTCTAATTCCTAAAACTCACTTCCATCACAAGAAAGTATTTTCCCAAGTAACAGCTTAAAATCTAAATTTAAAATGTGATAATCAGCCTTTTTAGGTAGGAGAGGAATAGGACCTTAGTTATCTATAGATCATTCAGAGACAGTACTGGGCCTCATCAGATTCTGAAGAAAGTAATTAAACACGCAGTGACAGTGACATCTAGTGTCAGCACTTGCAAGCCACTAGATGACCATGAAATTCTCCCACATGCTGAAGAAAGAACTATTCAAAACTTGTCTTCTAAAAAAAACCCCAACTAATGGAACTTCTGCATTGTATCTAAAAATGACCCATCATCAAAGTGTTTCAATAAGTTTCCTTCCAGACATTAAAAAGAACTTTAAGAGGAAAACATCTTAAAGGAAAACCATAACACTAAAGACCTAAAAGTAAAAAAGCGTTGTTTATTCCATGTAGCCAACATCTATCTGTAACTGCTCCCCTTGGCTACAGAGTTTATGCAAAAGTAATCTGGGACACATTCTGATAAGTATATTGTAAACATTTAAACTTCCAGATATAAAAGCAAAGATACTACACAAACTAGTACTTGGTTAACAAACACATTAAAAAAAAAAAAGGCAATTTAGGACATTTCAGGAATACCTGAGGATGCAAAGAAAAAAAAGCTTCAGCTGTTGCACTGAGAAACAAGCTCGACATTTCAGCCCTTGCTACCTTGCCGTATTTTTGTTGCTTTAAAAGGTACACTTATTAAACGGTAGGTATTTTTGCCCAATAGCTTACAATTTGGCAGCCTAGATTAATTTACTATAGCATTTTAATAGTTTTATGCTCTAGATAAATCCATAAAAGTAAGCAAATTTCCAAAAATTATTTTTGGCCAGGACAATATTTTGTAAAAAGTAAAGTTAGCAATAGATGAAGCTTACCTATTTTTTTTGGAGAGTTCATCCTTTCCCCTTTTAACTCCAAATATTCTTGTGATCAAGGTACTAAAAAGAAGTGTGGATGAATTTCTCACCTAATGTAAAAATAAATGCACAATAAGGGTTAAGAAATATATATGGCATGAAACCAACATTTACCATGTTCAAACTTCACATTCAAAGTCCTTACCCAATTGGCTAATGTGGGGCTAAAGAAAATATGGTTTGTGTTCATGAAATAATTTTCAAAAACTGTACAGTAGCTGACTCAATGACTTCCTCTTACACTAAACTTTATAATCCAACCACATGCATACAAGAGCTCTTTCCTGTACTCCTAACATTACTACCAATTGTTTTCTTTGTACTTGTATCATCAAATAACACTATTTTTAAATTTAAAAAATTCATTTTCCTATATTATTTCTGACAAGAAATACCCCAGTAAAGAGCTCAGCTCTTTCCATTTATTTTCTGTAATTGTTTACCTATGGGAAATATTTATGATATCTAACTTAATCCACATTAATTAATATGGCCAAGAAAATATTTAATATCCAAAGTATTGTTTATTAACCCCACAATGTAGTAATTTAATAAATTGTCTGTTATAATTGTCTGAGACAACTGGTTAATAAAAGTAAGAGGGAACGATCATTAATAAACACAAATCATTTCTTCAAAATGATAATAATAGAGATACCTATTTCCAAACCAACGTATCAAGATGTTTTGTTGGATCATAAAAACATCTTGAATGCCACAGCATAAAGGGCTTCCTCAATTACCTTGCCAAATCAGAGCAGAGATGTATAAATACGTACTGACTTCCCTATAGGATGTAAGTCACTATGCCAGCCCCACGGAAGATATCTAGCAATAGAAGACACACTTATAGCCAATACGGAACCTGTATCTTAATGAGATAGGTGTCATAATCATATGGTATGTTTAAACAACATAAGAAAAATAATTAAAAGAAACAATGTAAGATTACAAAAGAGCCCTCTGAAACCACTGCAATAAGGGTCACAAATTCAAAGGACCACAGGGACCAGTGAGTGACAGGGGCACCACATGGCTGAGTCTAATGCAGTCACTATTCAGCTTCAGCTGAGCTGCATGAGGGAACATAAGCCCAGTGTTGCCAGATCTGCTTTTTCAAGAGAAGCCAAAAAACCCAATTTTTATGTGAAATCTCACTATTTTGAAATGCTGGCAACAAAATAAAGGGGGGGAAAAAAACCAACATCAACGAGGCCAAATAAAACACAGTTGTAGGCTAGATTTGACCTATCAGCCACCGGTTTGCAACCTCTCCTCTTGAAGCCCAAGACTGACTCAATTCACACATGGTAACTCTGGAAGTGGACAATTCATACCAAAGTGGCATAATTCATACCAATATTGCTACGAAACCCTAAAATTGGACAAATTCACTTATGTTCATTCCACAGTCAACATTAATGAAGCACCTACTATCTGCCCTAATGTCCCCAAACAACAAATCAATCTGTCCTGTTACACTATCAATATGACTCTGCCCTCACTCAGATCTTGATTCTCTCTCACCTGGTCTATTGACTTAGTGCCCAAAAACTCTTGGGTTTACAATGACTTGGTAAAGTCATATGAAACCTTGTCTCCTCTCAGGAATCGCACAAAGACAGAAAAATAGAAGCACAAATTCCAACCTACCCCTAAGCCAAACTTTCTAACAAAGGCTGCCAAGTGCAATCAAGACAAAATAGGAATTCCTGGAGACGAAAGAGGATGACTGCCAAGGAACACCTTAACCAAAACTTAGAGGACTGTCAAAACTTAGAGGACTGTTTTACAAAGTGAATTGGTACCCCCAGAAAAAAAAAAAATCCCTTTGTCTGATTCAATAAGCTGGAGGCAGGAGACAGTCTTTCAGTAATATTTTTTTTTTTTAATTTTTTTTTTTTTTAATTTTTATTTATTTATGATAGTCACAGAGAGAGAAAGAGAGAGAGGCAGAGACATAGGCAGAGGGAGAAGCAGGCTCCATGCACCGGGAGCCCGATGTGGGATTCGATCCCGGGTCTCCAGGATCGCGCCCTGGGCCAAAGGCAGGCGCCAAACCACTGCGCCACCCAGGGATCCCCGTCTTTCAGTAATATTAAGACGGATCTGAGGGTTCCAACAGTACTAGCCTGAAAAATTCAGTACCAAGTTCCCTTATTAGGAGCCATAATCATCATCATCGATTCCAGTAGGTGTAGCAAAACAGTGATATTCTACCATTAATTAGATAAAATTTTAAGAAAAATAAAGTTTTCCCTTATCAGCTCTTTGGTTACCCCCGTTACTTGATTACTAAAGAATTATTTCCATAAATTTACCAGTTTGCAGAATAACGAGTTCATGACAAAGCAACCGCCAAGGGCCAACAAATAATGATTTTTAAAAAAGATTTTATTTATTTATTCATGAGAGAAAGAGGCAGAGACATAAGCAGAGGGAGAAGCAGGCTCCATGTAGGGAGCCCAGTGTGGGACTCCATCCCAGGTCTCCAGGATCACACCCTGGGCTGAAGGTGGCGCTAAACCACTGGGCCACCCGAGCTGCCCCCAAATAATGATTTTTAAGGCATTGAAAAGATAATTTTCCTTTTATTGAGATAAAATTCACATACCATAAAATTCACCATATTAAAGGGTACTATTCAGTGGTTTTTTATTACATTCACAACGTAGTATTTTCATCACTCCAAAATGAAACGCTATACACATTACCAGTCATTACGCATCTGCCCACACCAGGCCAAGCACTAATCTACTTTCATTTCTATGGACTTGCCTATTTGGACATCTCATATTTGTGGGATCATGCAATAGGCAGCCTTTTCATCTGGCTTCTTTCACTTAGCTATTCTCACGGTTCACCCATGCTATACCATGTTTCAGTATGACATTCTTTTTCATGGTCAAATATGCCATTGCATGGATATACCACATTTTAAAAATCCACTCATCATCTGATGGACATCTGGGTTATTTCCATTTGGGGCTAGTATGGATAACGATGCTATGAACACTCCTATACAAGTTTTTGTGTGAACATGTTTTCATTTCTTTTGGGTACATAGGTACAAATAGTACTGCTGGGTCATATAGTAATGATAGAGTAGGCAGTCAGACATGAGTTAAAGGCAATGGCAGTGATAAATACGTGATGTATTAGAAGCCTGGGGCATAGCATCCTGATTTTGTGGCTTTTAACATCCTGGCCTTATGGCTTCCAACGCCCCCGGGGCTGACAGACCAAGAGCCACAGGCGCAGAATATGCACTCTCCTTTCCAATCTCTGCCCCCAAGGTATAGCTTCATTATAATATATTTACATTGTGGTTTCTTCAACCTACCCCTAACTCATCCCCATAGCAGAAGATGGCCATGACAGTTCCATCAAGAGTATCTTAGATGACTGGAAACAACCTCAGTCAGAGACTGCTCTAGCTATGACCTACAACATATGCAAACATAAAAAGAAAAGATACCCTTAACTCCTGTACAGTGGCCACTTTTGGGCCTGCCCACTCTCCCACCTTGAGAGTATAATGTCCTTAATAAGCTGCTTTGTGCTTGCTACTTTCCTTCTGGCTGTCTTGATTTGAGTGCGGATCCTCACGTAAATCGTTCATGGGAAATCCAAGAAACAAAACCTCCATTCACACAATGCAGATGTCCCTACTGGTAACAGTAACTGTACATCAACCTTTTGAGGACCTGCCACAGTGGTTGGTATCATTTTACATTTGTGCCAGCAATGTATGAGGGTTCTGATTTCACCAAGTCTCCAAATGCTCCCCAACAATTGTTATCGTACATCTTTTTGATTTGAACTATTCTAAATGGTTGTGAAATGGTATCTCATTGTGATTTTGATGTGCGTTTCCCTACTGAGTAATGATTTGAGTATTTTTGTTTCCCTACTGTGTAATGATGTTGAGTATTTTTTCATGTGCTTATTGTACATTTACATATCTTTTCTGGATAAATTTCAAGTTATTTGCCTATTTTTTAACCAGGTTGCCATAATTTTTCTCACAGAGTTTTAAGAGTTTTTTTTCTTAAAGATGTTATTTATTTATTCATGAGAGACACAGATATATATATATATGTGTATATATATATATATATATATATATATATAGAGAGAGAGAGAGAGAGAGAGAGAGAGAGAGAGAAACAGAGGGAGAAGCAGGCTTCACACAGGGAGCCCGATGTGGGACTCGATCCTGGGACTCCAGGATCACACCCTGGGCTGAAGGCAGGTGCCAAACCACTGAGCCACCCAGGGATCCCCTTAAGAGTTCTTTATATATTCTGGGGCACTAGGGGGGCTCATTTGGTTGGGTATCCAACTCTTGATCTTGATCAGGTACTGATCTCAGCATCCTGAGTTCAAGCCCCATGATAGGCTCCATGCTGGGTATGGATCCTACTTTAAAAAAAGTTCTTTATATATTTTATATATTAACCAAATATCAGATATATGATTTACAAATATTTTATCCATTCTGTCTTTTGTGTTTTCATTTTCTTGATGTATTCTTTGAAACATAAACATTTTAAATTTTTATCAAGTCTAATTTATCATTTTTCTTTTGCTGCTTGTGCTTTAGGTGTCATATCTTAGAAACTGTTACCTAACCCAAGGTTACAAAGATTGGCAGTTAATATTTTCTTCTAAAAGTCTTACCATTTTAGCTTTTTACATTTAGGAGTTTGACTCATTTTGAGTTAATTTTTTAATATGGCATAAGATAAGAAGCAAATTCATTCTTTTTCATGTGTATATCCAGTTGCCCCAGTATCATTTGCTGAACAGACTATTCTTTCCCTCACTGAATTATCTTTTTTTACTAAATGTTAGGTTTTATTTCTAGACACTTAATTCTATTCCATTGATTTATAAATGTCTATCCTTATGCCAATATCATGCTATCTTGATTACTGTCGCCTTTGTCATAAGTTTTGAAATTTGAGCATGTGAGTCCTCTTTTTTTCTCAAGATTTTTTTGGCTAGTCTGAGTCCCTTGCTTTTCATCTGAATTTTAAAATCACTTTGTCATTTTCTGCAAAAAAATTCAGATGAGATTTAAATAGAGACTACATTGAATCTGTAGATCAATTTGGGGAGTATTGCTATCCAATTCATGAACATGAAATATCTTTCCACTTATTTGAGCCTTCAATTTCTTTCAAAAATGTTCTGTAATTTTCAGTGTACAAGTCTTAACATTTCTTTTGTTAAATGTATTTAACAAAATACAAGTATTTTATTCCCTTTGATGGTATTATTAATGTGAGTGTGTGTGTGTGTTTATTCCTCAGGACTTTCGATACAGAAGACTATCACTGAAAAATAGGTAAGTTTTGCATCTTCCTTTCCAATTTGGCTGATTTTTTTTTTTAAGATTTTATTTATTTACTCATGAGAGACACAGAGAGAGACAGAGACACAGGCAGAGGGAGAAGGGAGAAGCAGGCTCCCTGCAAGGAGCCTGATGTGGGAATTGATCCCAGATCCCGGAATCATGCCCTGGGCTAAAGGCAGACGCTCAACCACTGAGCTACCCAGACATTCCAATTTGGCTGATTTTTATTTCTTATTCTTGCCTAATTGCCCTACCTACAACTTTTAGTACAATGTTGAATAGATATGGTTAAGAGTTGATATCCTTGTCCTATTTCTGATCTTAGGAGGAAAACTTTCAGTCTTTCACTACTGAGTATGTTATTAGCTACAGGTTTTCCATTGGTACCCTTTGTCAGGTTGAAAAAGTCCCCTTCCATTCCTAGTTAATTGTTATTTATAACATGAAATGGTGTTTGGATTTCTGCACCTGTTTAGATGATCATATGGTTTCATCCTTCAGTCTATTCCTATGGTACATTATATTGATTTTCATAAGTTGAAATATAAACTATATTTTTAAATGTGTAGAAGTTATATAGCATAACATTAGAAACATTAATGTAAATACAGAGCAAATAACTAGCATGGAAGACACTACTTGTTACTTAAGATAGAAGAGCATCCCTGTTTTTTGGTGCAGGAGTATAAATGCTTCCAGGACATCTGGTTAAGGTACTCCTTTTTTTTTTTTTTTTTAAGGTACTCCTTTTTATTTTCATCCATATTTTCTGTCCCAATCCACTACAAAGCTAATTAAAGAAGGAAATTATGTAGAAGTACAATTGAGAGAGAGGTTAAGACTGGCTGACAAACTGCATTACCAACTCCTAAATCATTCATAGTAGATGCTAATATGAATCTTTGATATCATATCAATGTAGGTAATGAAAAAGGTCATTATCAGTACTAATATACTTTGAAAAACTCTTCATAGTAACAACAATGAAAACATGTCCTGTTTGGGAAGGATGGATCAAGGAGAATACAAGTAAAAAGGAGAAACAATAGAAAAAAGTAGTAGTAAAAAATGGAGAGAATAGAATGGCTGCCAAATAACTTCAGCTATAATCAATCCTTATCATAAGAAAAATACCAGAAAACAGTCCTGTTTTCTTACTTCTTTCTCCATCAGGCCCCCAACATATGGTTGATAAGGACCTGATATTCAGCTACAAATTAACAATTACTATCAATTCTTCCTTTCTATTCACTAAGTACATAAACATTTTCTTTCCTTTCAAGCATGAAAAAGCTAACCATATAGACTTGTATAAAATATGGAAGGATTTGATAAAGGAAAAGAAAATTAGGTTTCACAAAGCAATATGTGTGTGTGTGTGTGTAGAAGTGTGTATGCTTGTGTGTATGTATATGTGCACATAACACATTTTTCTTACATGTATATGGCTTTTCTAACATAAATGCTCCCTTGACAAATAGTTTTATTTTTTTTTTTATTTTTTTAAGTTTTTTTTTTTAATTAATTATTTATTTATTTATGATAGTCACACAGAGAGAGAGAGAGAGGCAGAGACACAGGCAGAGGGAGAAGCAGGCTCCATGCACCGGGAGCCTGATGTGGGATTCGATCCCGGGTCTCCAGGATCGCGCCCTGGGCCAAAGGCAGGCGCTAAACCTCTGCGCCACCCAGGGATCCCCCAAATAGTTTTAAAATATAAATGCAAGGATGCCTGGGTGGCTTAGCGGTTGGCTCAGCGGTTGGGCTGCCTTCAAGCTCAGGTCATGATCCTGGGATCCGGGATTAAGTCCTACATCGGGCTCCTGTGAAAAGCCTGCTCCCTCTGCCTATGTCTCTGCCTCTCTATATATATCTCTTGTGAATAAATAGATAAATCTTTAAAAAAAAATAAATAAATAAATAAAATAAAATAAAATAAAAATGCAGACAGAAACTATCATGTGCAATCACTATGTGGTACAGTCATTTATACATCATACACCTTTACCCTTAACAGATTGTCACATCCCTAAGAATGGGATCTGCATGTAATATAAAATATTTTGTCTAGTGTACATGGTGCCAGTTTATAATAGAAAAAAATACTTTCTGAAAAAACTAAATGGGATTTGGATTTTAATTTGCCTTTCATCACTTCTTAGCCATGTGACCATGAAAAAGACACTTAAAAATTTAGGTCATAAATCCCTCATCTGTAATCCAGTAAAGCTGTACCGAGATTCTGGGCCTAAGATTAAGGGGAGAGCCAGCCATGTCTGGAGTTTGTGGTAATCTCCTTCCAAAATAGGCAAAGAGAGAGACAGAGTTTCAATACACCACCTATGCATGATTTCTTTTTTAAAGTACCTTTCCTGTGAGTAAAGCTCCATGCCAAGGCATGTAATGTAATGTAATGGCTAGGTTTAAGTACCACACAGCCTTCCACCTGGAAGCCTTGTAGCAAACTCACAACTACCAGAGACTCTGAACATGCTCATACCAACAGAGCACAGAGTATATACGTGGCAGTGCCACTGGAAATATCTGAAAGGCTCCTTTTCCTCCTCTGAAACCCACTGCATATTGCAGACCAGAGGTGGCCTGAGGGAAACAACTAATGATAAACCAGATAGAACTATAAGACCAGTGTGGGTCTTAGTAGGATGCTACAATGGTACACTCAGTAGAGTTTCTAGGCAAGCTGGGAAGATGAGTTACCTGACCTGCAATGAGGATGCAGGAAAAGATCAGGTTTTCCAGTCACTGAACAAAAAAAAAAAAAAAAGGGACTGCCCAGAAATGTCTCAGTTTCCATACATGTACCTGTAAGTTACTCTTACCTAAATTTTTAATAAAGATTTTATTTGAGAGACAGCATGAGCAGCGGAAGTGGCATGGTGGGTGGCAGGAGGTGGAGAGAGGCAGAGGGAGAGGGAGAAGAGGCTCCCTGCCCAGAAGGCTGGCTCTAGGAATCCAAGGATCATGACTTGAGCCCAAGGTAGACACTTAACCAACTGAGTCACCCAGGCTCTTTAACTTGACTAGCTTCATCTCTAAAATACATGTCAAAAATCATCACATGTCACCATTTTTACTAATATTTTTCCATTCTGAGCCATCATCACCTCTTGGCAGAACTATTACAATAGCTTCCTGATTAGTTTTCCTCCTTCCCTCTTGCCACCTTTCAACTGAGTCTTTTTAACTACATCAATCAGATTCCAGCACTCTCCTATTGAGAAGCTCTCTCATAAAGGTGGGAGCAGTGGGAGCCACAGTTCCAAAGCCCAGGTCTGTCCCAACTAAATCTATGGAGGTTGTGACTCATCCAGCCATTTCCAGACTCAGACGAGACGCTACCACAGGGCATGGGAACTGCCTTCTCTTGCAGCTGCCCGAGGGTTGTGCCAGCACCTGTCTGAGTTGTGCCTTAGCACCTAGATTATACTTCCAGCTCTGCTTCCTAAGGAAAAGAACCCAAACCCTACAAGGTAGGTAAAATACACCTTTTTTGTATTCCTACAACACCAAAAACTTTCCCCTATAATAGCACAGATTCTGGAGTCAGACAGATAATAGTTGTGTGTCCTTACACAAAGTTATTTTGCCTCTCTGAGCCTGTGCCTAATGCCTAATATGTTTACAATACCTTTCCCCTATATTTTAAAAATGTCCAACAAGTGGCAAAGATCAAAAAATCTGTTGGTCTTAATACAAAAGACTGAGGAATCTGTAAAAATAAAATTATATACGAATGCTTGTTGGAAAATGTCCCTTTACTGCAAAATTTAAATTAATTTTACTTGTGTTTTGTTATTTTTTTTCCTCTCCACCAGGGGAAAACAGTTAAGTCAGAAGTACAGATGTAGTGATCTTTAGGCACAAAATACATTCCTGAGAAGATACACACAAATTACATTTCTATAAATTAAAACACATTTCACCTGCATTCAAGAAAAATCAATTCTTGAAATGACCTCAACAGAGAATCCTGTGGTAACCTGCTTTAAACTGTTGTAAATTTTAATCGTTTTAAAATGAAGCCCTCTTCACATTCATTGGTTATGTTTACTTATAATTTTGGAATATATTAAAGTTTTTATCAGAAAAAAATGTAACAATCGATATATTAAAGTCATAGATTGATCATTAGGGCTATGGTGTTGACTTCCTCTAGTACAGCTGAGGAAATAAACAGAACCAAGAAGATTCCTTCATAACCAGGGTTAGTAAGGGAGATTCCCAAAAATAAAACTACACATGAGCACATACACATATTTACACAGTCTTTTGTGGATATATGTGTGTATCTGAGTACTACAAACATATAAAACCCACATTTAAAAAAAGGCAGAAAATTAATAATGACTATATATGTATGGTAGTTAAACAGGGAACTTTCACTTTTAATGCTTTTCTTTATTTTCAAAATTTCTCTGGTACATGTGTTACTGTTTTAAAGGTCCCCAAAAAAAGACTTTTAAAAAAATGAGCCACTCATTTTTGATACTTTCAGTTTTATTAAAAGGTTGGAAAAGTCACCAGGTTTCATTCTCTGAAAGATTTCTTTGTTCATCTTGAATTTATGACTTAAAGAAAACAATATTGATATTTCTGGCAATCAGTTTTACGATCTCTAGTTTTCCGGATGGTCAAGCCACATTCCTACCTCTATGACTCTACTAAAGGTACACAGGTATTGCTCTCTGCTTCCTGAAAATGCAAAAGGTAAACACTGTGTCCTTGGGAGTAGTTAGGCAATGCTCCTAGACAGGATTTTAGACATTTGTCTTTCTTACAGGAAGACGCCCAATTTTCCAGGCAGAAGTTGGCAACCTTGAGGATTCCTCTTCACATTAGGAGTCTGACTCCTAATATACTATACTATGACATACTGACTCTCAGAGGCTTATGCCTATACTTTGCCCATACTACAATATACTGACTCTCAGAGGCTTATCTTATAGTTATAAAATGGTTTGTGTGGATCACTGACCGGAACACCTGCCTTTCTAGCAAATTCTCCATTTTGCAAGTAACATATTAAGGTCTAGCTTCTTTCCTCTTCTCCCTTTGACAGTCTTTTTTTTTTTTTTTAAAGCCACATGTCAAGTACTCACAAACCACAGGTTAGTCTCCTTTATTCTGGAAGGAAGACAATAAAATCATGGGATTTCTCCTAAGAGTCTTGAAAGTTGACCTTCTTAAACCCAACAGCTACTATCCTGGGTATTGTCCGCTATCTTTAGAGTTCTGAGTCCAAAACAGTGATCATATTGCAAAAACAAAAACAAAAACAAAAAACAAAAAACAAAAACAAAAAAGTGACTCAATATTTAACCTCTTCCATTTTGATACTTTGTGTTTGTTTGTTTGTTTCTAACCCTTTAATAGAGTATATTTACAACACTTACTCAACACAGATACCCAGAGCCCACAGCATCCAAAAGAAAAACTCATTAAGATACTAAGAGTTGTTCTACTTCTAGCTCAACATCATTAGCCACCAGGGAAATATAAATCAAAACCAGAATGAGATAGCATTTCACACCCATTAGGTTGGCTATTATCAAAACAACAACAACAACAACAACAAAACAGAACAGAAAATAGTAAGTGTTGGCGAGGGTGTAAAGAAAATAGAACTCTTGTATATTGCTGATGGAAGTATAAAATGGTACTGCCACTGTGGAATACAGTTTGGCTGTTTCTCAAAAAGTTAAACACAGAATTATCATATGATATACACAAAAGAATTAGAATCAGAAACTTAGTACTTATACACCAATGTTTGTTGTAGCATATTCACAATAGCCAAAAAGAAAGAATCTAAATGTCTATCAACAAATGAATGCATAAACAAAATGTCACATATATGCACAATGGAACATCATTCAGCCTTAAAAAGGAATGAAATTATGACACACACTATGTTAAAAACACTATTCTAGGTGAAACAATCCAGATACAAAAGGACAAACATTCTATGATTTCACTTATATGAGGTACTTAACAATAGGCAAATTCACGGAGCCTGGAAAGTAGAAGAGAGGTTACTAGGGAAGGGGGAAGAGGGAGAAGAGAAACTGTTCAATAGATACAGAACTCCTGTTTAGGATGATGAAAATGCTCTAAAAAACAGCAGGAATGAGTGCACAACACTGCAAATGTACTTTATGCCACTGAACTGTACATTTTAAAATGGTACATTTTGAAAAAGAAACAAATGACAGTTTAAACAAAAATAACAACCATGTAGTATAGGTTTGTAACACACATAAAAGTGAAATGTGTAATAAAAGCACAAAGATTAGGAGAAGAGAAATCGAAGTATTATATTTTTAGGTTCTTATAAAGTCTTAAACTTCAATTGAAGTGATAAATACCACTTAAGGGTTGACTGTGAGGCTAAAGATATATGCTAAAATCCCTAATGCAATCATTTAAATAGGAAAACAAAGAGTTACAGCTAAAAACCCAAGAAAGGAGATAAAAAGTAGTTTATTAAAACCTACTTAGAACTATAATTAGGTGAATGAAAATAAATGGCAAAAGCACTTACTGCCCAGACTGGTGATGTAAAGCCTAGAATTGCAGCCTTAGCTCCATCAGCAACATACGGAATAATATTTTCTCCCAGACGTGTATCTCTGAACAAGGCTCTAAGAATATTTAAAGCATGAACCTAGAATAAAAATCTGAAAATTACTTTTGGGTTGAAGACCATGGTAATTCTAGATCTGTACATATCCAATAATTTAACCTCAAAATTAAAAAAAAAATTACTGAATTACAAGAATAGGTAATCCACAGAAAAAATAGCACATTTTTAAAAAGATTTATTTATTTATTCATGAGAGACAGAGAGAGAGAGAGAGAGAGAGAGAGAGAGAGACACAAGCAGAGGGAGAAGCAGGAGCCCTCTGGGGGACTTGATCCTGGATCCTAGTGTCATGCCCTGAGTCAAAGGCATCTGCTCAACTGCTGTGCCACCCAGGCATTCCTAAAATAGCATATTTTAATAAAACAACTATTATCTGATAAATCAATTTTTTTAAAAGTAAGATTTGAACAATGCAATAAAAAAAAGCTTGGTCCAATGGACGTATGCAAAATCCTCTACCTAACAAATAGAGACAATGTGCTGTTTTCAAGTACACATTAAACATCTATTTTTTAAAATGACTTAAATCTATCTACAAATAAAACCTCAACAAATACCACATAATTAAAATCTTACAGATTATGCTCTGATTATAGTATAATTAAATTAGAAACTGATTTCTTTAAATACCATTAAAACTGACACTTTTAAAATATACTGGTCAAAGGAAAAAAATTGTTTATATTTAGAGGTGAATAACAACCAAGATGCTACACATGAACATTTGTGAGATACACTGTAAGTAGAACTTAAAAGAAATGCATATCCTACATGTTTCTATTTTTTAAAAAGACTAAAAATAAATATGCTAAGTGTCCAATTAAGATGATAGAGAAAACAATACATTCAAAACAGAGAGAAAATTTAAAAGAGCAGAAAATTTGAAAAAAGCAACAACATAAGCAAGATCATTAACAAAACCCAAAGCTTATACTTTAAAATAAAAACAAACCTCTGACTAACCAAGAAGAAAGAAGAAAATAAGCAGTATCATGGGAATACCAAATGACATGACTACAGATATACCAGAGAATAAAGCAAAACTACTATAATACTACCCTAAATCAGTTTGAAGAATTAAGTCAAAATGAAAAATTTCCCAGAAAACAGAATTTATCAAAACAAATTCAAGGAGAAGTTTAAAAATTAGATAGAGGCTATCATTACATAAAGGAAATCAATAGATAAAAATCCTACCCAGACACCAAAAACAGAAAAACAAACCCAACCTATTAATTACCAAAAAAACAACACCCATGTCATTTTATGTATAAGTTCTGCCAAATATTCAAAGAATACATAATCCCAATTTATATAAACTACTAGAAGAAAAGACTCCCAAATTTATTTTATCAGCCCAAAAATAAAGTAAGGACAACCACTTTGGGAAAACGGTAATATCTACTAAAGCTAATATACAACATACCAAATAACCGCTCCTAGGTATCTACTGAAAAGAAAGGTACATGTATGTTTACCATTAGGTATGTACAAGAATGTTCTTAAAAGTCCTGGATTAATAATCCAGATTAAAAAAACTACACAAATGTTCGTCAACAGAAGAATGAAGAAGTTATATAATATTATATAGCAATGAAAATGAATAAATTACAACTTGGATAGAAACCATAAACATAACATTGGTCAAAAGAAGCCATATCAAAAAAGTATATAATGGTTTCATTTATTTAAAATTTTTAAAAAACAGGTAAAACTAAAACTAAGGTGTTAAAGTTAGAATAGTGGTTACCCTTGGGGAAAAGGTACTGATGAGAAGGGAACATGAGGAAAGTCATCTTTCCCAAACAAATCAATAAATTTAAATTCCAACCAAAATTCTAAAAGGGGTTGAACTTACCAAGTTGATTCTATACTTATATGGAAGTGCAGTTGAACAAATATAGCCAAATCAATTCCAAAGGGAAAAAAGGGAGATTCATACTACCAGATATCAAAACTTATTAAAAAGACAGTAATTAAAATAATGATATTGGCTCAGGGACAGATAGACTAATAGACCAATAAAATACAGCACACAGATATGCCTATCAAAAAAAAAAAACAGTACATGAAAGATAGAACAGTGTTATAAATTAAGGGGAAAGGATATACTGTATCAAAAATGCTTGTATATTAATTAAGTAGAAAATAATAAAATTATTTTCTTATGCACAAACAAAAACAAATTACAGGTCGTATAAAGACAGAAATGTGAGAAGTAAAACTCTAAAACTTTAAAAAGAAATAAAAAAATATCATTCTGACTCTGGGGTATTTATTAATCAAGACCCAAATGCACAAGCCATAAAAGAAAAAGCTGACATGTTCCATTTCGTTAAAATTTGAAACTGAATGAGAAGTCATCAGAGAGGGAGAAAAACCTTGAGAGACTCTTAGTTAACTATAAGAAACAAACTGAGGGTTGCTGCATGGGAGGTAAATAGGAGAATGAGATAACTGGGTGATAGGTATTAAGGAGGGCACATGATGTGATGAACAATGGATGTTATACATAACTGATAAATCACTGAAAACTACATTTGAATACTATAAATAGGATGTACTATAAACTGAATTTAAATAAAAAATAATAATAATAAAATTTAAAACTTTCATGCAATAATAGACAGCATAAGCAAAGTGAAAGAAGTCACAGATTGGGAGAAGGTATGTGTAACTCAAATAACCAGAAAGGAATACAGTTATCAGGAAAATCATTTTTTTAAAGATTTATTTATTTATTTATTTGAAAGAGAGAGAGAGAGAGCAGGAGCAGGGATCAAAGGATAGTGGGTGTTGAGAAGGAGAAGCAGTCGCTCCGCTGACCCATGCAGGGCTTGATCCCAGGACCCTGAGATCATGACCTTAGCTGAAAGCAGACACTAAACCAACTGAACTACCCAGGGGCCCCAGGAAAATCATTTTAAAACAGAAAAAACCCAACTCCTACAAGACAAAGACAAATAACCAGTTTAAGGTAGCCAAATTAAATGGGCAATTCACAGAAGTAATCCAGAAAACTAATTAATACAGGAAAAGATGTTAAAGCTAGCCAGGTATCAGAGAAATGTGAAATAAAACTGGGAAGCACCATTTCACATGAAGCAGAATCCAGGCAGAAATTATGTACAGTGTAACACCATTCAGAAATTATAATAAATTTGGAATGCCTGGGTGGCTCAATCAATTAAGTGTCTGACTCTTGGTTTTGGTTCAGGTCATAATCTCTCAAACACGGGATCAGGCCCCTTGACAGGCTCCATGCTCAACAGGGAGTTTGCTTCAGATTCTCAATCCCTCTCCCTCTCCTATGCCCCTCCCTCACCCATGTTCTCTCTAAAATCAATCGATCTTAAAAAAAAAAATTACAATGAACTTATGGACTTACAGCTCATTCATTGAAAAATAATGTTCATTGTAAACACCCCAACTATAAAAAGATGTACGGATGATACCATTTATGTTTTTTTTTTAAAAAAAAAAGGGTCATAAAAGAATGCAAAATGGAAAAACTTGGCTTAGTGATTACAGCTGAGGGGGAAGAAAGGGGCACAAATTGTGGAGGACCCCACAGCACATATGATTCTATGTGTAATGTTTTACTTCTTTAGCTTGGAAGTGGTTTTATAGATGTTCACTGTTCACTGTACATTTTTATATGCTGAAATGTTTCACAGATACCTAATAAAAATAATAAGAAATACAACACAAAAGGGGAGAAGGAAAGCAAGTTATCAACTAATGCCTAGAAGGCTGGTCAGGGATGAAATTTTAAAATCTTACCAACTTAATAAAAATGACCACTAAAATGCCATGAATGATCTTGAAGCAGGGTAGGACAATAATCATCCAACACTCTTTAAAATCAAATTCCAAGGATCCCTGGGTGGCACAGTGGTTTAGCGCCTGCCTTTGGCCCAGGGCACGATCCTGGAGACCCGGGATCGAGTCCCATGTCGGGCTCCCAGTGCATGGAGCCTGCTTCTCCCTCTGCCTATGTCTCTGCCTCTCTCTCTCTCTCTGTGTGTGTGACTATCATAAATAAATAAAAATTTAAAAAAATAAAAAATAAAAATAAAATAAAATTCCATTATTTTCATATGTTCTCATAAAAAAAACCCAGCATTTCTCTTTTTAAGTGAGAGTCTAGGAAAATGGAACCAAATTATATTTTTCACATTTTGCTGGGGAAAAAAATCTAAAATTAATAATTTCTGAAAGGTGATTAGCAACATTTTAAAAGTTGTAGAGAAATGAGGATATTTTACATCTTATAGTCATAGGCCAGAAAGTGGCATATGCTAATAAACCCCATTCTTTCCCACTAGTCACACTCTGGCCCACGGGCTCCCCTTTAACACCTCCCACAGGCTCTTTAAGTAAAACCACACGTATGTATGTACGTAATATACTTGACTGACACGTCAGCTCTTCTGTTCCTTGACCTAGTCTGGGCCTCCTACAATTGGGTAGGAAAGTCCTACTACAAAGCATTTACTAAGAAAACTTAGACAAGGTGTCCTTGAAGATATTCACCATCACGGAGTGGAGGGGAGCTGCAAGGATACCTACCTCAATTTCTCACTCATATATACATACACCCCCACACACACACTTAACCCAGCTGTAGCAGTGATTAAAAGAGACTGAATATAAGCTAAAATTAAAATATGAATATACCAAAAGTTAGATGCTTCATTTTAGGGAAAGATCAGCTACTGAATTACAACATGTACAGCAACTCAAAGAAGCACATGGGAAATTTAAAAGTGAGCACACTCGTTTAAAAACTTTTATTTTATTTTTTTAAAGATTTTATTTATTTATTCATAGAGACAGAGAGAGAGGCAGAGACACAGGCAGACAGAGAAGCAGGCATCATACAGAGAGCCTGACATGGGACTCGATCCAGGGTCTCCAGGATCATGCCCTGGGCTGCAGGTGGCGCTAAACCGCTGCACCACCGGACCTGCCCCTTAAAAACTTTTAGATGCAAGAATAGTATTATAAAATACCTTATCTAAGTTGGATGTTTTTTTTTTTTTTACAAATTTTTTTAAAATTTTTATTTATTTATTTATGATAGTCACAGAGAGAGAGAGAGGCAGAGACACAGGCAGAGGGAGAAGCAGGCTCCATGCACCGGGAGCCTGATGTGGGATTCGAACCCGGGTCTCCAGGATCGCGCCCTGGGCCAAAGGCAGGCGCCAAACTGCTGCGCCACCCAGGGATCCCTAAGTTGGATGTTTTTACCAGAGTTTAAAAATAGTTCATTTTGGTTAATATATATCAAGTAAAGCAATGGTTTATTTTGTGGACAAGAAAGGCCAACAAAACAAATCAAAACAATCCAGATCAAGCTTCAAATGCCTGTCCTATTTTCGAGAATTCTGTATCTTTAGCAGATACTTTTTTTTTTTGTACAACAAAGATTTAAAATCACTTCCTTCTTAGCAGGCTTTGTATATTTCCATTATTACCTGGGGGACTGTGCTCTGTGAGTCATCTGTAGGTCCAGCCAAGGAGAGTAACTCTTTCATTGTTACTTTTAACAAATCCATTTTGCCTTTCTTAGGTTCAGATGCCAATAGCGCCTATGGAAAAATAAGGCAAAAATTAATGGGGCTCTTATTTTACATATACCTATTTGCTATTTCCCAGCATCAATCCCAAAGTGCAAAATCCCCCTATAAAAACAGGAGGTATCAAGTAAGTTAATTAAGCCACGTGGCCTTGGGCAAGTAGCTTAATCTCTCCATCCCTTCATCTGTAGAATTCAATGAGACTGTTATCATGGAATCTCTAATGTCATTTCCAGGTTTGCTGGTTAACTGTATAATTTTAAGAGGTTGAGGGAATAGCTCTTATTGACAACTCTTTTAGGACCATAACTAGGTGGCAGGTCTCAGATACAATAAGCAAGTCTGTTTTTATATTTTTTTAAAGATTTATTTATTTATTTATTCATGAGAGACACAGAGAAAGAGAGAGGCAGAGACATAGGCAGAGGGAAAGGCAGGCTCTTCCCCAGGGAGACAGATGCAGGACTCGATCCTAGATCCCAGGATCACAACCTGAACTGAAGGCAACCACCCAACCACTGAGCCACCCAGGCATCCCCATTTTTATAATATATTTACCAACAAGAAAATTCTCCTTTATTTAAAAGACAAAACACACACATACACACACACACACACACAAAACCTGTGGATTAAATTTCTAGCAAGAATTTGGAAACTCCCTGGAGATTGATCAATTATTTAATTCTTTACTAAAGAGTCTCTTCTCCACCTTGGAGTACTATCAAATTGTAGCACAGGAAGCTTCCATGGAGCTAAAAAAAAAAAAAAAATACTACAAACTCCAAAGGAGTCCTATATTTGTATTTCTAAGAGCTGCTTGTTTACTTTGTGTGTAACATTTTTTCAGTATACAATAAACATAAAAATAGGATATTAAACTACCTGAGGCAATAAAAAGGAATGAAGCAACATGGATGGATTTTGAAACATGCTAAGTAAAAGAAACCAGACATGAAGGCCACACATTATGATTCCATTTATATGAAATGTCCAGAATAGGCAAATCTATAGAAACAGAAAATAGATTAGTGGTTGTATAGAACTAAGAGTAGGAGTAGCAGTGATCAGTGATTATTTCATTTGTACGTAGCTACTAGCTCCCAAGGGTGAAAGTTTCAAACTACTCTGCATCTTTGGAGGTTTTTATAATCCATGAAAGAAGAATACCCAAAATAGATAAATTTAAAAGAGAATTTTATCATAGTATGTTTAAGCTCAGAAAACATACACACTATTTTTCTAATGACCACTCAAAAAAACTTCATTATCTGCACAAAAGATAAGTTCATTAAGTAGGGCAGTTTTTCTCCATAGTTAACACTAAGTAGAGGTTTCCATGAGAACATAACTTACAGGTAGGTTATACTATAAGGAATGGGACCTCTCTGATTTTTCTTATAATTTAGATTTTACTCAACTAATATAAATAAAGGTATATGCAATTACTGAAATGTCTCCTTGGAATCATGGGTTTTTTTCTGTCAAGAACTGTGTGCATAGTTATAACACTCTTCACAAGGATGGGCTAAGAAAGTGCATGTCCTGACTGCTCTGTCACTGTGACTAATATTTAGTGTGAAATGGGAACCAGAAGTGGAATAAGGATAGCACAAACATGCAACTAGACCTTGCTACTGTATTAACATTTGTCCTCAGACGAATGATGCAAAAACACGAATGAGGTCAGAATGAATTACAGGAAGAACGTGAACCAAACTGATATCAGATCAGAGAGTTCATTCCTGAAGGTCACCAAAATTCATCCAGCAGAACTACCTCAATGATCTCTGGATCAAATCAACCACCTCTGTAAGTGCTGTCCATTGTTACCAGACAACAATGACTTTGGAAATTTGAGGAAGGAATAAGAAAAAGAAGGAAAAAAACGTAGGTAGGGGCATTAAAAAAAAAAAAAAAAAGACTTCATTTCACTTATTTTTATTGCTTTTATTATACTGCCCCATTCCTGGACTATATCTTACTGAATATTAAACAGAGACCTTTTAGGTTCAGGTCTGATTTAGTATATGAGGGCTCTGGTTTTTATTCACTGCATTTATGAGAGTGACAGCCTCTTAATTTCAACACTGTGGAAATAAAATGTTTTTGTATCAACTAGTAATATCTGGGTGTGCTGATATGTAGTGTTCTTTAAGGTATAATGTTAAATGAAAAAAAAGCAAGGACAAAACAGTGTGTATAATGTTTTCTTCTGCATTAAAAAAAGAAAACACACTCACACATACCCATTCAATCAGGCTGCCTGGGCTTCAAGTAAGTCTTAACTCTGCTCACACTATCTCTGGGGCTTTTAGAAAGTTAACTTGACTTTCCTAAGCTTCTTAGATAAGTTTCTTCATCTACAATATATGGATGATCAAAGGACATATCTCATAGGGCTTGAGAAGGATAACATAAGATATTATATGTGAAATAACCACTTATAATTGTTAGCTACTACTAGGATTAAAATTATTTTGCATTTGGGACATTTTATGGAGGGATTAAAAAGAAACTGTTAATACTGGTTGCTTACAGAGTCTTAAGGGTCCTGAAATAACAGAAAGACTATTTTTTCTAATTCAACAAAAAAGGCAACATGTATACTTCCTAGAAGTGAGCAGTGAATGTGCCACAGTGATGTCTGCCTACTTAATACACAGGCGGAAATCTATACCACTCTCTGTTCATATTATAAGACTGATCTTGAAAAAAAATAAAATAAAATAAAAAAATAAAAATAAAAAAAAATAAGACTGATCTTGTAGAGGGTTTGTTCCAAGAACAAATCTCTCATGGGAACACATTGTTCACACATACAACAAAGCCACAAATGCTATAGCACTTAAAAGACAGAGCTGTCCCTTATACAGTATGCTAACTCACACATCAAGGAGATTGTCAAAAGACAAAACAAATTATCAAAAGACAAACAGCTATATCCCATGAATAGGTACCTGTATGTAGAAAGGAATTCCAGCACTGCGCCTTGTAGCACAGAGTTTAGATGAAGGATCACTGCATTTAATTTCCTCTAAAACATTCCATAACCACTGTTCTGGTAGCTTTTGCAAACTCACATTGGGGCACCTAAAAGGCATATATAAAGCAAACATTTGGAATAATCAAGTACCAGAAGGTAAAAGCACAAACTATTGATACACATCAACACTGTTAGAAAGGAATAAATATTCTTAACATTTAGAAGGAGGGAAACTAAAAACTGTCTCTTTCTACTTTTCACTCCCTTTCCTCTTTATTACAAGTCTTAAGATTTGAAGCTACTAATGATTCCACCTCCTACAAAAGCATATAAAGCATGTGTCTTGTCTGCAAAATAAGCTTTAATACCATGGCTTATACCCAGTCAAAATGTTTTGGTGTTCTGACATTAATTAAATTCTTATAATCTATACTGCAAAACTCAAGATTTCCAACAAAGAGAATATAACTTTGTTATAATTTATGTTCTATCTTTATAAAGATTATTTATATTAAAAGATAACACATTTTAAGGTATATTTTAATAATCACTTCCATGTCTTTCAAAATGATGTGGCCTACTACAAAATTTTCAACAAGATCCTATGGAAAATTAATAAAGTAAGTTGGCATAAACAATTTGAGGTTATTTGGACATTCCTGTTAGTGAGATTCTGCTCTATTATATTTTTATTCTAGAGTGCTTAAGAACATTTTATTTAAAAAATTTTTTTAACCTTATGCCTTACTAGATTTTATAACATTACCTTAAGAAACAGTATATCCAGTGGCAGACGGACAATTATTTTAGGAGGATTGTAATTAGATTTAACTAAAATTAATACATGAGATAAAGTCCAAAGAAAAAATATTTTCTTACATTGTGGAAGACATTCTGTAGAAAGATAACTGATTTCTAATTTGCAGTGAGAATTAGATCTCTCAGAAACACATGTGGGATTTTTTTTCTTATTCTAGTTTGATATAAGATAGACAACTTCAGTTTCTAATTAAATATTCCAAATAGCAATTCAATTTAGTTGCACAAAACAAATATATATGTAAATACTACTACTCTGAAAGACTTTTTTCTAAGTTTGACATAGGCCTAAAAATATTATTTCAGCCATAAATGTTACAATCAATCTCTCCACTCCCACCAAGCTTTGTGATTTCAAGTTTTCTTTTCACATTGGCTTACAAAATTCATCCCACCTATGCTTCATCCCACTCAGCCACCAAAACCAGCCATCAACAATCTGAACTACAGAAATAAAAGAGATCCAAAGGCATAAGAACTAAATGCAAAGTGTGAACCTTGTTTAGATTCTAACTTGCACAAATACAATGTAAAAAAGATATTTTCAAATAACAGAGGAAATTTACATGTACTAGATACTATACGACACCAAGGAATTATTTATAGGCTGTGTCAGGACATGAGAGAAAGTGTCCATATTGTTTAGAGATCCATACTAAAAAGTGTCTAGGAGGGAAAATAATAAATGAGGAATGTACTTTATAACACTTCAGTAAGCCATAAGGAAAGGTATAGATGAAGCAAGTGTGGCAAAAAATTCTGATAAATGTTGAGTCTGGGGATCCCTGGGTGGCGCAGTGGTTTAGCGCCTGCCTTTGGCCCAGGGCGCGATCCTGGAGACCCAAGATTGAATCCCACGTCGGGCTCCCGGTGCATGGAGCCTGCTTCTCCCTCTGCCTGTGTCTCTGCCTCTCTCTCTCTCTCTCTCTGTGTGACTATCATAAAAAAAAAAAAAAAACCTCTAATGGTGAGTCTGGGTGATGGGCAAAGGTGGTTCATTTTATTATTCTCTCTACTTTTATATATTTATATATATATGTATGTTTGAAATGATATGCTTTATATATTTATATATTATGTATGTCTAAAATTTACATTTGAAACTTCTCATAAAAATCCATTTGTGTGATATTTGAAATTTTTATAATAAAAATAGTCCTCCTGCATTCTTATATTCATAAGAATTGAAGTTACTATTGTTGGATTTGTATCTTTTAAAAATTAAGATAAATGCCTTGAGTTTCATGGAATCATCTTCTAGTTTATTACTAACATTGCCAGCATGGTATAATTCTCATACAGTTACTCAATCAAAAACTGAAATCCAAATTTCCCAGAGCTCTTAAATGCTGATGATATGGTTATAGATTATAATCTTCCTTTGCTCATTCTTCACAGTCTTTTAAGTATATTTGGGTTAATTTACTCCGCAATGGGTAAACAGAGAAAAGAAAAGGAAAATCAAAGCAAAAGACATCTTTTGTGATGTAATCCATCCAAAAAATTGGAGTCACAGAGGTAAATAAAGTAAAAACTACTTGATCTAAGATTACATATAGATTTCATTTACCTGTTCTTTTCCCCACCACAGGGCCATTGGCAATGTAGGACTGGCTTATAGATAATGTTGCAGTCTATGGTCAAGTCTTCTATAGGGATTGACTATATAGGAAAAACTAAGAGGGAAAAGGAACTGTAAGAAAGACGGGGTATTTTCCTATTTCCTTATTTTCAAGTGACTGAAATACGAGTACAATAAATACTAGCTCAGTAATGCTCCTCAACACTGCCCATGAGCCTCGCCTGAGCCTCCTTGACCTAGCACACAGAGGTTCTAGCAAAACCAACCAATCTGAGAAGTGTAGGCAGGTCTGAGATGAGACCAGGCCACCTCACCTCACCATGCATCATCCTTCCTTGCCTGAATTTACAAGGGCTCATGACTGTTAACAAATCTTGATCTAATTCCTTTTCCATCTTAATCAAATATTCCAGTGTGAGTCTAACCTTAAAATTTTTTCCACATTCCTATAGCCTTCTGTTCTATCAAGGCTGTATAATTTGCCGGTCCCCATTCTAACACACATGCTACACACACACACACACACACACACACACACACACACAGGCACATACACATACTCTCTCTATTCTCAACTAAGCATTTATGATCTCCACACTTATCCCTATTCATACAAATCAATAAAACTTACTCCAAATATTATATCTCACAAGGACATTTCCTTTCTTAAAGTCTCTAATGTATTTCAAGGAACTAGACACAAGGTATACAGGGGGTCAGTACAGGGGTGGATTTGAGCTGGGCTCGGAGGATGTGCAGCAGAATGGTGGAAGGCCCAGATGTGTAGGCTTGGCGAAGCAGGAGAGGAGGAAATAGTTGTTTCAGGGCCGAGGCAATTCCCTAATTTAGATTCTTGGCTATCATACCTATAAACAGCTAACCAATTGATTTATTCCCTTGAGTGTTGCACACTAAGACTAAATGCTCCTTGTTAATTTGGGGAATTGAAAACAAAGGTTAGTGAATACTCAAAGAGGTCAAGGCTGGCAAAGTACCCTCACCAAAGTCCTCTCTGGCTCACTCCCAAGGATACAGGAACCTCAGGAGCTCTGGGAAATGCTCAAGGCACCAGATCCTCCCATCTAGTCCACACAGTATCTTGATCTGGAATTCTCTAGGATCACCAGCTTTTCTGTAGAATCCTTCAGTTGTCTGGTTTTCAATTTAGACTTTGCACTGTACCCTATTTCTCTGATTCCCTAGCTTCCTAGCTCTGCATCTCTCCCAGGCCAGTCCTGTCCCCAAAGCCACACAAGAAAATTAGTCCAATAATAGAATTCCTACCCTTCTTACTAAAATGAAACATGCTATATTTTAAACTAAATGAATTTACAAGTTTTGTTTAAACTGTCACACCGAAAATATATTTGCCTGCCACTAAGGAAAGAAAAATAAGCATTTACTCAATGTTATTATACATCAGATACAACACTAGACTTTTCACATCTTATCTTACTTTGCAACAAACAAGTCTGTGAAAAGGTCTGATTTTCCCCAACTGCCAGGTGGGAGAGTACATGACAGTGGCTAGGAAGACAGACTACAGAGCCAAGTTATTTAGTTTAGAATCCTCACTCTGCCACTTAATAGTTGTGTGATCCAGGGCAAGTTATGAAACCTCCCCATTTTTTACTTTCCTCTTTTATAAAATGAAAGGGTTTTTTTTGGGGGGGGTGAGATTAAATGAGTTTGTCCTGGTGAAGTATTTAATATGTACTGAACAGGTTTTCTAAAATTATTACCTATTAGTGGGGTGACTGGCTGGCTTAGTCAGTGGAACATGTGACTCTTGATCTTGGAGTTTTAAGTTTGAGCCCCACTTTGGAAGTAGAGATTACTTTAAAAAGTAAGATCTTAAAAAATAAAATAATTATTATTATGAGAAAAGCAAGCTTTAAAGAATTTCAATTGAACTGATAGAGATGGAACAGTTGGTTTACATTTTAACAAGGCATGCCCCCCAAAACATATTAATAATAACCAAAATATTCAAATAGAACCCCAAAACCAACTGAGGTAAAAAAACAAGGTAATTCTGAGTAAAACAGAATAGAAATGCAAAGAAGCAAGAGTGCTGATACCAGAGATCTGTTGGGGTTACAGCTCTGAAAGCAGCAATGATGGCCAAGAAGTCAGTTCCTGAAGGGTAACTCACCTCAGGCCCAGGAAGTGGGAAATTTTAGGGCTTCCTCTCCCATGAAAGGAAGTTGGAGAAAGTTTATTGCCAGAACTGCAACAGTAGGAAAAGTCACGGGTCCAGGGAAACCCCAAACCAGGCTAACTACTAGCTTGATGACCAGATCTGTAATATTCCCAGTATAACTTTGGGTGGGAGACGAGACCCAAAATGCCACTATCTAATCTAGTTTCTCTGATGGAGAAGAATGAGCCAAAGGAAAATAAATAGAGACCAAAAAGACTCCCAATTAGATAGTCAGTAAATCAAAATTTAAAACACAGAGATGTTTTATAATAAGAAAATCAATTTTAAAAAGCAGTAATTTGAACATAAAGTCAATCCATATGAAACTTATTTTTATGGAACAGTCTGACAAAGACCTTAAAATAACTGTTAAGAATACTCAAGAGATAAGGAATAACTTCTATTTAAAAAGAGGAAGAAATTATGAAAAATGGGGTTGGAGGAGGCCTGGGTGGCTCAGTTGGTTAAGTATCTGACTCCTGATTTCAACTCAGGTCATAATC